AACGCCAATTTTGGGGATGGGGGCCCGTACGTGTATGTGGATTATGTCCCCAAAGTTTCAGCCCTGTAGCTTTTGCCGGTCTCGAGATGAAAAATCGGCACAGACGAACACAGACACATACACACACACAGACAACCTCTCGTCAATATGCATTTTCTGCATTGCATAGCTGCAAAAAACGCATAAAAAAACCTCTCGCGTTTCTCGACGTTGTATGTTTTGAATCGATTGAAAACAGAACAAGCGTAGATAATAATGAATAACAACAACAACATGATTATGATAACTATAAGTGGATAAATCCATCGATATGAACCTGAAAGATAACGCCAACAGTGGCATCAACGATAACACCCTTTTCAATGATAACGCCTCTTCTGACAATTCGATATTCCAGCTCATAAAATCAACTGCACCCTCAATCCATCCCACCCACAGTGAGCTTAGTATAAGCAGGAGCTGATGCACTACAAGACAGTAACGACTAGCGCAGACATAAAAAGCTGCTTGCGCACCAGCGTCGCCAATTTATTCAAAACCTTTGTTATAGCAGCTCAGCTACGATGCATTAGTGGCAAATTATGGAAACACTATCGAAGCCTTCGTTCTGAACTATTTATAACCTCCTTAAAGACTGCACTTCTCTTCCAGTGAACGGAAGAAAGCTGAACCGAGGCTGTAACGGACCAGACTTGCCGGTGTGATCATGAGTTTTTGTGCTAAGCTTACAGATCACTAGCAGCACAAATGGCCCTGCGCTGTACTTTAACACTTAGACCCGTATTGGCTATGTTTTGGCCTCTTCCCGCATGCAGGAGAAAGGGCGTCGGTTGCATTACGGGGCCGCATGGACTTAAAACGTGCGTGATTATCAGTTTTTTGCATGAAGCCCGGTCGTCCCTCCGGTGAATGCTCATTTACTGAAAAAGTGCAGATTTGAAGGAAATCCAAGGATTATGAAGCCTGCAAAATGCACTCGCTTTTGACTTTGCGACAAAATTAAATATTTTTGCAATTTCACTTTCAAGCTGAATTAAGATCATACGTGACTATAGGATATCCTTGCAAACTTCCAGTCTCGGAGATTCCCTAGTAAGTGAAATAGCCACTTCGTCACAAATATATTTGGAGTACCCTAAGTCGTGGAACAAGTGCAATTTGGAACTCAGTTTAAATATACGATCTCCCATATAAGTGATAAGCACTCTGACAAAATTCAACTACTGGTTTCTGGCTAGTTTTCGAATTAGCACCGTACTAACTACGAATTTTGACGTAACCGTACACGCGGTACAAGCATGCGCGACAGCTAAATTCGAAACCTTTAGCTCGCACATGCACAGAGAACATTCCTGCAAAGTCTCAGCTTTCTATCTTGTCTGGTTTGCGAAAATGTTTCTCGCCAAAGAAACATGCATATTTTTTGCGCGGCCCGTATGCGAGAAGACGCATTTGAGCGAAGATTTTAAAACGAGAGGACGACACACAAGGTAGGAATATGTCCTCAAATTTCAGCCTTCCAGCTTTCTTGGTCGCTGGGTTCAACGTGGGCGACAAAGTGCCCTCATTTTCGAACACACACATACGCACACAGATACACACACACATACGCACACACACATATACACGCACACCCATACACACACACACACACACACACAAGGACAACCTCTAAAAAATATGTTTTCGCTCGCTGTAGCAGCGCTATAGCGTTGCAGAGCAAAAACACACAAAAATGAAAGCCAAGATCAACAGCAGCGAACTGATCACAATTCGATTACAGCAACAATACATCTCAGAAGACGTTCTGTGCCATCAGAAATGGTGCACAAAGCGTCTCCATGGGACGTTTGGTGAATTATTAATAATAATTAGCATACAATACACACACCTCTGTTTACTTTTTTTATGAGAACATGTCAGAATGGCAAGCGACAAAATCTCAAAGGTATGTAGTGAGCAGAACCATGAAGTATCTTATATAACTTTGCAACAGATTTTATATAAACAAGCAAAGCTAAAATTCTCATAACTCACCACTCATCAACCTCAGAAAAAGTAAAAGAATCCCTTGTGCTTCAGCTTAACAGAAAACTGCGACTGTAACGCAGCTTACCTTTCACTTTTACTTCGCGATCCAGGCGCGATTCCCAATTCTTCTCCTCGCCTTCAACCACTTCCGAAAACGAATTCCGCGCAACACACGAATACACACCCTCGTCATCAAACTGCACTTTTGCAATTTGCAAATCCTTCTCCAGAAAAGTTATCTGCTCCGTGGAAGCTGCAAAAAGAAATGCGAAAAACATAAGTGCATTCTGTAACACAATTCTACACGGCTGCTGCAAGTAAATTCACAAAAAATGATGTGAAGAGCAGCACTAACCAACAAGGGCATCATCTTTATACCAAACAATCGTTGGTTTCGGGTATCCATACACGGGGCAGCTCAATATCACCGTTTCACCTTCAGTTGCCCTCACAAGCGGTGCTTTCACGCGAAAGAAATTGTCACCAGCAGTTTCCAGCATCTTTGAGTGGTTCGTGTGGAAAACGGGGCGCACTGAAACAAACCTCCCCTGTGTCAAAAGGTCTCATCCTAGCGACAAGCAGAACTCAGCTCTTTTGGGGTGTATTTTCTGACTTCAGAGGAAAGATTACTGGAGCTATCACGAAAATGTCTACGATCCAAAACTCGCTTTTATTGAGGGTCCGCAAAATGAAATCTGAATACGAGGATGTGAATTACATGCTGCGTACCCCGGCTTTACTAATGTATGGGTAATTTAATCGCAGAATTACAGGAGCCAATCACTCGCCAAAATAAATGCTGGCAGTATACTAAAATTGTAAGTTTTGCATTTTAGATGTAGGAACGACTTTAATTTTTCGAGAATTCCTAATTGCGCCACTCAAATCTGTATAAACAAAATAGTTGTAAAAATAAAAAAGTCGAAAAACGGACTGTTCACAAAAAGCCATCCCCAAGCAAATTCGTTGTCAGTGGTCGTGATTTCGCATCGGTATTTTCCGGCGCTCAGTACTGATGTGCTACTGCCAAATTCAAGAATAGCACGCGTATGGTTACTGATAACTGCTGGAAGAAGTTTCCTATCCGAGACTCGAATAAAACGAGCTTCCTTGATAGGCAGCAACTCCTTCGTTTTGAAAGATCTCGCCTGGCACCTAGAATTGTATGCCATCAGCTTAAAAGCTCGGCAACTGACACAAAAAATAGATCAAAAATGGACTCGAAATCCCAATTCCACCTCAGTGTCACTCTAAACCTTTGCAAGTGTTTCAGAAAGATCCCTTGTCATATACCTCAGCTGTCAAGTTTGGTAACAATACAGCAGTGGTGAAATGTGGGTTCCACCATATACAATCCCAACGATGCGGAAGGCCCGCAGCCAGCTACGCCATCACTGCAGAGAAATTTAAACTGCGCTAAACACGACATATAACGAAATGTAATTTAATCGCTTTTTTCTCCAAGATTAGCAAGCACATGCAATTCACGCATATTAACCAGTGCTCAAAAGAGAGCGCACCGGAAATCTCGGGCAAAAAGAACTCGCCATAAATTCGGGACGCTGGCAGTCAGCGGATGGTCGTCACCGGATTTTGCAGCTGTGGCGTTGAAAAACACTGCTAAGTTGCCCTGTGCATATGCATCACTAGCCGCGTAAGCTGCCTCACATAAGCAACCTGCAAAATGACTCATTAGAGCATGCAGAGTAAAGCGGGCCGGGCCAATATACAATTGCTCGCTCCTCGAGTACCACGCATTAGCAGTCCTCCCTAAATGCCACACACCAACAGCACTCGTATCTCCGCTACCGCACAACAGCACACATCCTCTAGAGTTGGCACCTACCAGTGCTAATTTCCCAGCTACCACAAAGCAACACTCGCTTCCCGGGCAACACAAGCCAACCCTCATTTTCTGCACTTAGTTTGTGCTTATATATATATATATATTTCTCTCGGCACCGCATACTGACATTCACCTTCTAATCATTAAGCACACGCAATCACTGACCATGTCCACCGTGTATAAGCGGTCATTTCTTCGGTACCTACATCAGCGCTTACTTTGACAATATAGCATATCGCTCATTTCCCAGGTACCACATATGGTGAAATCTCTTCCTTTTGGAAGCTTATCTTTTCTATGCTACAGTAGAAAAAGATAAAACAGTAACTTCTCACCACAAAATACAAGAGGCCCGAACCTCTCAACCTCGCCGAATTTCTCTTTTAATAATCTTTATCGAAGTAAGTAAAATACAACCACAATTTTCTCCACACAAATTCCCATCAACAGCTTGAATATCCAGCACAGCCTTCGAAACTCCACAATAATAATTGGCCCAACCGACTGACGCCTCGATACTCCTTCAAATTCAACTGACCCAACTGACTGAATAGACCGACCCACAGCTCGAATATCCTCCACAATAATAGCTGGCCCAACTGACTAATTCGAAACTCCGCTACAACAACAAACTGACCCAAAAACAAAACTGACCGAAAAAAGGAGGGGAGCGAGATCTTTTATACTGAGAAATTTGTTCCCACCCCTAACTTGAATAATGGCGTAATTAGCGGAAGGTCAACCCACAGCCATTTTCGAATAACAGCTAAGCGAGGGAGTTTACAACCTCGGCATAGCAAAATTACAATCATAAAAAACCATAACCTAGTAGAAAGCGTACCGGCTGCCGGTACGAGGATGCGTTTTTTGCGCAGTTCCCCCCG